TACATTTAGAAAAACTTACATTATCTCTTCGTATTCGTGATCGAAATACATTCATCGATGGAAATTATTTGCATAAATATATAGTCAGTCAAATGTCACATTTACATACATTTATCTTTGATATTGTTACCGAAAATATCATGGGTAATCAACTACCTAGACCTTCTGTTGATGATATTCGACGCACGTTCATTGAAAAAGGACTTTGTGTTGATTGTTACATCGACTATCATTATAATAGTATAGGTCGATGTCATGTTTATTCACTTCCATTCAATATGGAACGTATACATAAGATTACGCATAAGTTTCCTGGTGGTATGTTTATGAATGTTCGTGTTTTGTGTGTATTCGACTATGATCGTCCTTTTGAACACGATTATTTTGTTAAAATCTCACGTTCATTTCCATTACTTTGTCATCTGAGAATCATCAATAAAATACCACAAAATGATAAATGGCCACGACAATTAATGAAACCTGAAGAAGCATTCTTAATAATTGAATATATGCATCTCGTCCAACTTAGTTGTATTGGTGCACATGTTGACTATGTAGAACAATTTCTTTGCAACTTGAATACACGTCTACCTTGTCTTAGTGAACTTCATGTTAACTATGAACATTTAGTAACCGTTACAGAGAATTTTACAAGAAATGCAACACGTATGAATTGTTCAAAATTGGAACATATTACTTTTCTTCGTAAAACAAAAATAGTTCGTTCGAAAAACTTTTATCTCTATTTTCCTTTATTGTATCACGAGAAAATGTAATTAATAGATTTATTTAATATATCAATAAAATAAAACGAAAATAAATACTTGTAAAAACTATTACTATGAAAATATTGAGTGTACATTGTCTTAGATACACCCATTATCAAATGGCGAATCAGTGTTTTTTCGAATAACTTGAAATTTTCTCATTGAATACTGTTTCAACAATGATAACAATATATGTCAACGATGAAATTCGTTCGTATTTTAGATCACACTCATGATTGCTTAAACTGCTTCTGTGAACATTTATTTATACATTGCTCACATCATTGATACAGCGATGTCGAGTGAGTGTAAGTATCAGTGTAGTTCTTCTCTTAATCAGCATATATATCCACACTCTGAAAACGAATTTATCCATGCACTTGCATACCATCAGAAATTTTTAGCACATGTTGGAACTGAAATGTAGAGTCTAGAATAAAACTAGAGGTCCAATATTGTGAAATTTGAGGGAAATATAGGATATAATAATTTCAATAAATCAAACTATCGAGAAAGATTGTAGAGAGCGTAGTACTTTTCTAGGTTTTTTTTTGAACTTTCGTGTAATCGAAGTTATGATATTTTTTGTCCTCTTAAAAAACTAAGAATTTAAAACAAAGAGTTTCTGTTATGTTCTGAATCTCGACAGAGAATTTCAGATTGTCAAACGATCATTTTTGACTCTAATTGACGTGAATATCTTCCACAGACGTCATCGTATTATGCTGAAATTTTTATGGTACTCTCTTCACTAGTCTCACCATATTCAGAATATTTCGTGCGATGTACATGACCAAAATCGCTTTTCAGGAAAGATGCGAGTGGCTTCAAATGTTCTAATACTTTTTCAACTAACTGCACAAACGATTTTCGACTGCTACGCGAAATAATAATTGAAGAGGTACTCGATTGTACGAGTCCCTCTCTTTTTTATTTGTTTTTAATACTTCTTTCCCATGGCAGCTGATCGCTCTGTTTGAAAGGATAACTTGGAGTTGTTTTCAGGCACGTTTGACGACTTCATATTGAAGTTGACTTCCGTGTTATTGTCACCGTTTTGAAAAATATTCGGCGTATTGCTTAGGACATTCTTGTACTTAAGAGGGTGTGGGTGTGGTGTGGGCGTGGGTGTGGGGTGTGGGTGTGGCTGGGGTGTGGGTGTGGCTAAGGTGTGAGTGTGGGTGTAGTAAAGAGAAGATACCCACACTCACACCCCACATCACATCACACCCACACCATTCCGTTTGTTGCACCATGAAACCATTTTACGGCACAAGAATCATTCTGATCAGATACATAAATCGAATCATCTTCATTATTGATAGCGTTTCCGACTGAAAATTGAAGTTGATTCAAAGCAGCCCAAGGACTATTTCCGTCAGGCAACAGTTATACCGTTTGCAGATCATTTTGCTTGAAAACAAATTGAAGCTACAAATAAATACTTTGATCATGGAAGATGGCAGCCTATTTCAAAACTCTAAAAATATACGTTTGAATAAAAATCATTCCACTTGTTGTTGGAATCGACGAACAGATTTGAGTCATTTTTTATGGATAACAAACAGAACGTGAATAACATCAAGGATGAGGATTGGGTGTAAGTCTGTGTGTGTAACGGACTATGCAACCATGTCCATACTCACACCCACACTCAACTCAGTCGGATTTTTGTATTGTTCTTTTACGATTAGTTTCATTCAGAAAAAGGAACATTGACCAACGTTCTAGTACTTGTTCGAGAGAAAAGAAATCCTTTATCGGCCGTTCTTTTTCTTCTTGTTCGCTGTTGCGGATGCATGATGAAAGATTCTTTTCTTTTTTCTGCTGAGTTGACTGTCGAACGAGAATAGAGAAATGAGACAGGCCACCTTTGCCATGTGCATCGAACAACGAAAAATAAAGAGAACGAGAATTAAAATGACGATAATGATAAACACATTATTGTTCTTCTTATCTATAAAAGGTAAGTGACACATGAAATTTCATTATTTTATTCTAACGAGTATTAAAAGTCGCACACGTGAAAAGTTGATATGCGGTTGGAATCGTTGGCGAATGAATTATTATTGGATCTGTTCGAATATTTAAGCATTGTCGATTTATTTCATTCATTTCATGGACTTAATTCTCATTTTGACAATCTTATTCTAAGTCATGTTGAAACACATAGATCTTTCGACTTTCGATTGGTATCGAAATCTGATTTTGATTTAATTTGTAAACGATATCTTCGATTGTTTGTCAATCAAATACATTCATTGTGTTTGTCAGACGATGATAGTACACCACAAATAAGTGATCTATTTCTATCTCGAATTTTCACTCTTCATCATTTCACGCAATTGCATATTTTAATTTTAAATAATCTTCGTTCGAAAGAAACAATTCAAACGATGTTATCTGATATTCAAAATCTTTCTCATTTGACTCATTTGAGTCTGAATGATTGTTATTTTCAATTTGATCGGGAGAGTATGATAAACATTATCAACAGTATTTGGAGTTTACCAAATCTCAGTCATTGTCATTTGAATATTCGTTTTGCACGTGATTGTTATTTGACAATTCCAACTGTTACATCAGTTTCTATTGAGCATCTATCAATTGTTGGTACTTGTTGTTGTTTCGAGTATTTATCTCGTCTGTATGAACATACTCCTCATCTTCGATCTCTTCGTATGAAGGTTTGGGATTCATTGAATAATTCTCATCTACCATTTCCACTTCTCTCAATCACTAAATTGAAACTTGAATATCAAACATCTCAGCAATCCATGATGAATCTTTTGCACAAGTTACCAAATTTAGAACATCTATCCATCGAGACAATAGACATTCGTGTCGATGGAAATTTTTGGGAACATATTATCACGAATTATCTGCCTAAATTAAAACTATTCCGATTAAAAATGCAATTTGCCTTTGTTGATCATGATTATATGGAAGATGAAATCGATCAATTACTTCATTCATATCGAAGTCGATTTTGGTTGAATGAACGTCAATGGTTTGTTCGATGTTATTGGAAACTAAATGATGAGAATGCTTCGATTTATCTTCATACATTACCATATGGATTTGATGATTTGAGAATTGATATTCGTGAGAAGAATATTCTTTTCAAATCGACTACTCCGAACGATGAGAATTTTTGTTCTTATTATCATGTTCGTCATCTATTTTATTGTTATTCTTCATCGAGAAATATCAATCAAATTCCAATTCATTTTTCCAATATTCGTCATCTGACTTTAACTCTTCCTTACAACGATTGTTTTCAATCTGTTTTACCTTGTTTCAATCATTTAATATTTCTTGAAGTACGAATAGATACTTGGTCTCAACATGAACACGACTTACTTCAGTTACAAGCTCTGCTCGATCGAGCACCACATCTGTATTCACTTAAATTCAGCTCATGGCCATCATTCAATTCTCAAACAAAGCAAACAAAAAAACGATCACAAGTATGTTAAACTACATTTCTATCATCGATTTCAAAGATTCTCACAGATTAGTAAGTTAGATTCTTAGATAGAAAGATATCTCTACCATCGTATCAAACTATTTATCTTAGACGATCATCGCTCTATCTATGTTTCAGAATAATACTCAAATTTTGACTCAAAACTATGTCAAATTAATCATATTTATTCTCAAAACATTTCTATTTCTTTCTCGAAATTCAAAGCCAATTAGCAAAGCACCGAGAAGATGAGGCGATCGATGTTTTGATCTCATTGATGTGATACTTTGGTATTACTGCATGAGAATCAAATTCAGTGACATATTTGAAAACAGCGAACAACCGAGTTTGCGAAGATCATTTCGTTATACCATCCAGTGCATATCATTGTTAAGAAACGAGAGATCATATTGTCTACAACAATTCACTATTCTTGATAATTATTGATAATCATTTTCACATATTCGTCCTTTAGAACAATCAATCAGACACCAATCATTCGAACAGTAGAGTTTCGCTTGTGGAAGAAAATCCTAAGAGTAATGTCTTACATATTCAAACATGAAGATAGAATCGATAAAAGGGATCCGATTTAAATGAAGATTCGATCAATAGTGGATTCAGATCTAAATAAGCTAAACATTGACTTTGATGATTATTTAGACTGCTGGGATATCAGTATGGAAAATGCCACCATTTGAAAATAAAAGTTTGTCAGTTCGTCGACTTGATTTACGAGGTCATAATTCGTCGGGTCATTATCAATACTTCAATAGACAACAATGTGCGACATTGATTCGTTCACCATTAGGTATTCAATGTGAAGTTCTTACGATTGGAGTCGATAATCGAACTCATATTCTGGATCTTGTCCACAAAATGGTCAATCTTCGAGCTTTAAATGTTCGATGTCGGGCTGATAAGACAGATGCAAATGAACTTATCAAATGGTTACGACTTCATGTACGATCCACGTATACAATGACAAAAGACACACGTTCACCTTCTGATATTCGCTTGTGGATTCGTTAAGAGAATGTTTTGAAATAAAAAAAAGAATATCCAGTATGTCATTCAGGTCAACTGTGTTTCCATTGTTAGAAGCATTAATTCATTCGGAGCACTTGCATCTCCAACTTAAGAAAAGCTGTTTTGATTCATAATATCGAGCAAAGAAAACTTTGAGTTCTTGGAAAAAGTACATCAGACAACACTGAGAATTATTCCTTTTGAAGTCTCCTATTAATTATAGTATCAGTGTGATCCATTATTTTGCTTCAAAAATCTGTATATCAAAAAGCTCTCGAATCGGTTGACAACAACGCAATGAATTAATTTCAGTAGAAAGAAGCCTTTCGGGCAGATGATGTTTTTGATGTAGGGATGAGGGTGGATGGGTGAAAAAGGTGCGCGAAACGGTTGTGGTTACTTCTCCACCCTCACCGACCTCTCACTTACCCATCCACCTCTTCTCACTTAAACACCCATCCACTCTTGACAATACGTGTACCAAGCGCACAAAGCGCGTTGTACGCATACAGACAGCATTTGTTCTGATGTTGGATCCGAATGTGCAGATGTCACTCTGTGACGAAATAGAAAAGATTCATTTTTTTCTCAAGAAAACCTCGTTACACGATACAAATCTACTTCTCACACCTGTTCTATTATACTCACATTCATTGTAAACTCGCTCTTCCTTACCTATGCTGGTAGAGACGGGTAGAGCTGCAGATGTCTAGTTTACAAGAGATATTATTACAAATGCAGACCTCGCCGATATACCATTTCAATGTGTTATAATGCGGCAAATTGTTCAATAATGAAGAAATTGAAAAAATAAGCCGTACATCATTTGTTATCGAATGTCATGCACTTGATATTATTGTAGAAAATCAAGCATGTGTACTTGGTCTTGTTTAAAACATAAGTAAACTACGAGTTCTAGCTATTAGGTCTCAAGATGAAAAGTAAGATAATTAGTTTAGATAGAAGGAAGATTCACTCATCGATTAATTTAAAAAACATCTGTTTTTCATGTGCAAATCTAACCAATCTCTCATGAGAATAGTTTGATCCAATTTTTGATTCATTCATCAATAGAGAAAAAGCACGCCAAGAGTCGCGCACAAAAGTCTTCGTTGAGTCACTGTATTTTCGAATTTATTTCAAAGTGGTTCCAAGCGAAAGCAGATAAAATTTGTCAGTGCAGCTTCTGATGGTGCTAAAATTTAGAGATAATATAAGAATGTGGCGCTAGCTAAACAGAAACAAGTGGATCTTAGATTTGTAGATTGTCTTTGAGATCTTGTATATTTGAACAATTTTTCACTTCTTGTACATTCCAAAATTTAAAGCGACACAAATCGAAACCAAATACGAAAATTAAAAATTTCCTTGTCGCATTTTGTATGAATAAAGAAAAACAGGGATTAAAAAGGGTAAAAATGGATGAGGTGCGGGTGTAAGTGGATGGGTAAATGAGAGTAACTATCTTCTCTTCACCTTCACATATATTCAGTTGAGGGTGTGAGAGACAAACCTCAAAATGAACAATGACAAATAATGAAAAGAGAAGAAATTCGGCATCATTTCCTCGACAAATGCGCTATAATAAAGAGAGAAGAAACTCAACGAGCCGTTTCTTCTCTAGATCAACTGCGCAATAATGAAGGGTGTGAGTGTGGGTATTTACCATGTTGATGTGAGTGTGTATTTATTGTTTTTACACCCCCTCCCCCCTCTCCCCCCAGTAAAACCCACACCCTGAGAAACTAACTGTGATTTAATGAAATACAGAATATGATAAGAAGATATCTGAAATCGATTTAAACAGTCACACTAATAACGACAGCCAGCTAGTTTTTGGGGAGTGGGTGTGAGTATACAGAACATGAATATTCACACCCACATCCACACCCTGAAAACAAATTGTCATGACGCACGGACGCTGTTTTTTTGCTCATTTTATGCGTAAGGTTTCTTTCATAGAAATCGAATGTAGACATGAATTTATCCGTAATTAAACATGAGATACTGACCATATCTATATATTATCAATGAAAGCGACTTCCTTTTTTTCTCGTATTCTGAAAGAAATTCCTCTTCAAATATTTTATTAAAAACTCGAAATTCTTCCCACAAATAAGAATTAGAAAAATCTCAATTATTAATTTGATTTTCAATATATATAATGAAAAATATTTTCCACTTCAATTGAAATAAAATCTTATTAAAGCAAAGATGAAAAAGAATTTCTGTGTAGTAATACATCTAATCTTATCTTCGAAATCAATGTATGATTATCTTTTTCTTTTCATATTAATGAAGATGATATTCCATTGTAGAAAAGCAAATTTCATTTGAATATTTGATCGATTCTTATTTATCTTGAAGACTTTGTCATTGATAATGAAATAGATTGAATAAATTTTATTCTTATGAAATATTCTTCTAATCTAAATATATTTCATTGTTTTTTTTTCCAAATTTTTTTCAAAAAAGAGAAAAAAACCAGATTGAATCATCAAATATCGTTCTGAAAAATGATGATCTCATTGAAATATATTCATTCGATTGTTCTCTTCGAAAGAGAAAACATCTTTATTTTTACATATCTTACCATTTTTCAGCTAGTTATTTATTATTCATTTGACATAAAGTGAATCAATAAATGATCATCTTTATTTCTGCTAATGACGTGCTTCATTTATTTCCTATTCGTTCTTTTATATCGTGATTTGTTTACTGAACATAGATCTTTGGTCTCTTTCAGTGTTCTTGAATATGCAACTACTCCTTCTACTATGTGAGATGTGTGTAATAAAAGAAAAGAGCCCATTGTAAAAGTGCAGATGACACAAGACAAGGGATCAGTGTGACCACTTTTTTGGTCATAGTCATGGCAGATTACGGCCGTAACCATGAGCCACGAACATTTCATTGATTGTACTGGTACAATCTGTAGACAAGCGGCTATCTATCCTAGTGATATACAATGTTATTGACTCATACCATTCAAGTTCTTTTCTATTTGACAAGCAAAATGAAAATAAAATAACGAAATAGCTTAAGTCGATGAAGAAAAAATTGAATTATGCTCCTCGGAAACTGAAAAATGAAACCATAAATATATTAGTTTAATTCTTTATTTTTAAGACCGACTGATCACATGATCACAAAATCTAAATTTCACGACAAATTTTGTTGATGATACTTTAGCATGCATATCATAGGAAGAAAATATTGTTTCTTCCACACACAAATTTGCTTATTTTATATAAGAACTCGTTCGTGAAGGTATCCGTTAAAATGTTTTCTTAACTAATCTGTCAACATACAAACACGTTTCTGATTTCGAACGCATTAAAGCTTGTAAAAATCGCCGTACTAATTGATAATAACGCGTAAATCTACAACATTTTACACGTTTTAATATGTTCAGGCTTCTCTAACGCGATTAAACGTATTAAAACATGGGTTGCAAAGGCATTTTTGAAAGTTTTTGTTTCGTTGGGTCATCTTTGGCGTCTGTCAATGTTATTGTTGTCTATTTAAATCTTAGGATGACTTTGAAGGTTGAAAAAGTCATTGAAAAGTGTAATATTCCAACATATTTCACTACGTATGTTCTCATTTCCTATTGATTATAAGAAGCATGTTTCGAAAGTTACTTTAGAATTATCTATATTGTAACTGACAGATTTTTGCAAATCTTCAACAAGTAGCACGACCGCATGAATGATTCTCGACGAGTTCTTTTTTGACTCCCGAATTACATTTGTGAATCATTTTCCTTTGTAGAAACATCATTGACAAACAATTCTCCAATAACAGTCAAGACTTCAAACGATGGCGACAAATTGACAAAGTTTCCTGAAAATAGTTGACGTTTATTGAAGAAGTAGCATCTGGTCGTCTCCACCACTATGTAAAGCTTGATGCACGTCCTCAAGTGACGGAAAATAAAAAAGAGAAAGCATTGAGAAAATAGGTGATTTACACTTCTTTATCTTTTTTTTTTCTTTCATTATTATGCGAGAAATGTAGAGCGAGAGGAACGCATGGAGAAGGAAAAGAAAAGAAATTGTAGTCATGTAATGCACTCTCTATGCGCATCTTTTTATCGCACAACTTCATTCTCAACATTTTTGCGTCTAAGATTCTTTACACATTGAGAACAATACGAACACATGGCGGCAGCGAATACAAAGGATATAGAACTAGCTACTTTTGGAGCTGGTTGTTTCTGGGGCGCAGAAAAGAACTTTCGAAAGCATTTTAGAGCTAACATGATTTCAACTGTTGTTGGCTACATTGGTGATACTTCAACAGCTGTCTGCGAAAAAGTTCGTACTGGTGTGACGAATCATGTTGAAGTTGTACAAATCTCTTTTGAGAGGCAAAATGTTGCATATGATGATCTCGTTCGCTTTTTCTTTTATATGCATGATCCAACGATTTTGAATAAATCTGACAACGATCGAGCTACTCAGTACCGCTCAGTCATCTTTACTCATACCACAGAACAACAAAAAACTGCAGAGCTGATCCGCGATGAAGTACAGGCCAGTGGTAAGATAAAAGGACAAATAATCACTCAAATACAACCAATTAATGGACTGCAGTTTTATATTGCTGAGCAGAAGCACCAAAATTATCTGGAAAATAAATACGGATGGTTAATGCAATCATAAACTGTAACATATATGTATTGTAAGCATCACATGTGTATCTTAACGATAATCGCGATTATATTAGATTTAATTCGTTCACATGAATCGACAGATATTCGGTAGTTATATTGATGTAAAAAGTTTTTAGGATAAAGTCGAACACATTTTAAATACAAATCCAACATATGTTTATCTTTCATGACTACATAATGGGTGTCGACGCGTACCGAGAAAGTATATAGAAGATGTTCCAAAAGTCGGTCGGAAAAGTAAATTCGTATGACTCCATTATTTATCAAATCTAATCAATTAATCTTTTTCCAAATGATAGATATCGCTGCACGGTTGTTATTTGTATGGACAAACTTCACAAATATTCTTCAAACTTATTATTTCCGACTGAAATACAAAAAGCAATCATTTTTCGATGTAAAAAAAATCACTATACAGTGTTTCTCTTTTAATGCTTCTTCAGTTTCTTGAATATTTTGTGACGTTTAAGATCGGTCAGATCTTGCACTATCGTTTGTATGCATTTGTTTTGATATGTTACTGCAAAAAGAAGCATAGTGGTCTCAAGTTTAGTGATCACAAAGCTTATCAAATCGCTTTATGTTTCCGAATGATGACTGGCGAGCTGAAAGAGATGAATCGATTTCATGAGCTTTGTGATCACTGAACTTGACACTATTATGCTTCTTTTTCTAGTAACATATCAAAACAAATGCATACAAATCGTAGCGTAAGATCTGATCGATTGAAAAAAACTCATTTGATTAAACATTAAATAGTGCTTTTTGATAATTTTGATATGGAAATGATGAAACTCGTTATTCATAATAACGATGAGAACTAACTGCTCTTCTTGTATTTGCACTTTTATTAATTTCTTATCCAGCTTTAATAACAGAATCACTTTTCGCTAATTTTTCATTTAGATGTGCATAGAAATGTTGAATTACTTTTCCATCAGAATATTTTCATTCGATAACTAGATGTGTTCCATATGCTAAACCTCAATTAGCAGTTTTAGTAGTTTCATTTCTTGTTTCAACAACTTTTCTTCCAATTGGACAAACATAACCAGCCCCTGTAATGATATCTAGCTGCCCAACTTCCTTTTTCTTCCAAAGAGAACTGCCACTTTTATGTCAGATACCGGTGATAAACTTTTCACTTGACCAGTAAAATAAATAGGGTGTATGTGTGTGTGGATATGAGTATATCCATTCTCAACACCCATACCCACACTCCTTTTGCTGATTGAGTGGCATGTCATATTATTTCTTCTCTTGAATATCAAATCATTTTCCACTAGATAATTTTGATAAAAAGAACATAATCTGATATGATACTTCTTCATTCATAATAGTCTTTTGCTTCTTGTTTCGATCGATAGAAAAGTAATTCCTTCTCTCTTCAATAAGAATTATTTTTCTGAATCGTTTTAACTAAGTTTACATCATCCATCATCATATTTCATTTTAACAAAAGCTTTTGCTTATTACTTATCAGGAGAAAGAAGTTTTAATGTTTTTAAAGTATCTTGAAACTTTTGATTTGGAGGAAGAGATGTTTACTCCTAGAGAGAGTGTATGTATTGATAGACTAATGAAATGTCAATAGCACGCTGTTCGGATAGGCGGATTATGATCTTTTTTTTTAATTCAGGGTGTGGGTGTGTTGTTCTTAATTCAGCCCACACCCACATCCTCTTCTTTTTAATATCCTTGAGTTTATAGATTTGTCGAAGTGTTTGTACAATTCAATTTTAGTCGACTTGTATATGATTTAAAACTTGATAGAATGAAACTCAGAAATTGTGAGAAAGTTATTTTCAATTAGTTCAAGTGAACTCATTCATTGAATTGGATTTAAATGTGTTGCCTAGTTCTAAATTAAAAGAATAGCTGTGATCGCGAGATATTTCGTAGAGGATGTTGTGTTAATTGGCATACAAAAGAAATGAATACAGAGTACTCACAATCCATATAGATAGAAGTAATTACTGATTCATTAATGATATGTGAGTATATAAGTAAGATGTACCCGCAATGTAGACAATGAAATAGAGAACATCGCAAAAACATTATGCAAATAAAAAAAGAAAACAACAGAAATATACATCTGATTTAAGCATTTCTAAGTAAGAACTAAACAAAACATTACAAAATCAATGAACCTTAGTTTATTTTTCTAAAATTTTCTTTCATCAATTCATTCTACCGTTAAAATTAACAGTTCATTCATTGTTTCAGTTGAACCGTATAATTTATTTGCGTCAATATTAAAAAGAATTTTGTTTTCAATGTGAAAAAGTGTTTTTACTATATGTCAGTATCCATGCAAATGCACAGAAAAACATAGATCTAAGTAAAACTAAATGTAAAAAAAAACCAAATACATTTGAAAAGCAAACTTATGAGCTTTTCAAGAGAACTAAAGATAAAATGCCACGTTTCTATCAAGTATGTTAAATAATGATTTAAAATAAGAAAAAACATCTTCAACTCAGTGTGAAAAGATTATGTACTTATTGAGAAAAAAAAACAATCAACTAAAGGCATGAATATTGTTGCATGGCATTTGTTCGTAAGATATAACGTAAAATTTTTTGCAACACTTTTCTTTTACTTTCCATTGATTAACGTCTATGAGACATGATGGATTATATGAACAACGTTTTTATTTGCAATGAAAATAATTATAACCAGTTAAGTCAATCACTTTTTCCGAAATAAGTACGAGTTTATTAACTAATGTATAAGAGGAATTGCCTGTTTATTAGCTGAATTGTATAAAGGAACCACACACATTCTTCTCTTCTGGATAAGCCGAAACTTCCAATCATGACACCAGATCCACTTTGAGAAAATAATTCAACAGGTTCTAAGGAACCTATGGATATGTTCAGTTGAAAAGTTAACTTCTTAATAATAGACAAATCCAAATTTTAATTGAATATTCATATCATTCATTTTCTCAACTAACAAAAACAAAATATCACCGAAACTGTCACATACTACTGACATCTCGAAAACAAATTTTCACTCATATACAATAATCATTAGAAATTGAAAAGTACTCCATCTCTTTTAACTGCACTTATTCAGGTAGCAAGATTCGAACAAGGAAACAATTTCCATGTCTTTCACCTTTCAATTTTCAAAGAACTCGAACGTCTCAAATTCAAAAGCAAAACACTTTATTGTCATTTTCAAATAAAAAAAAATCAAATCACAAATTCAATCCAAAATTTTAGTTCTCCAGTAACACTATCTTTGAAGCCAACGTTCACTGACTTTTTTCTTAATTATTCCTTTTTATCAATACGTCCAAACGAGCTTCAAGTTCCCGACTGACGTGATTGTTGTACAGATATAGTGTAGTGAGTGTCTGTGTGAATGAGTGGCGATAGTAAAATGAGAGAGATGAAGAGAGAATGAGGATCACCTTGTTGTTTTGTAATGCATCAACGA